CTGATGATCCAGCGTAGAAGGCGTCCCCGAAGACAGAGAGATAGACGATGGCACATGGCACATGGTATGCGAAGCATCCAAGTAACACTAGGATGCCGGGATGAAAAGGAAGTCCGAAAAACTACGTGGCGGACCTTCGTTGATGCGAGTAGCGATGCTCATGCAGGACCTGTCAACTCCACCTGCGTTCCCCACCAATCGACTGGCAGTGGATATGACGGCTCGAATCGCTAAACGGCTGAACGATTGCACCCAGGACCGCTCCAGAGATCGATCGCACTGAAGCGGCTGAGCCCACAGGTATAGCCTGCGCATGCCTGCGTTGCGGCCAAAAAAAGAAAGTAGAGCACAATTGGAACACAGCGCATCTACCAACCTGACAAATCACTCAACGTTACCCGCTGATAGAACGCAAGCGGACTGCGTACCGTGCCAAACCCAATGGCGCGGCGCGAAGAACCACTAGCTGTCTACGTACCAGCCAAGCCTGCAGAACCAGCCAAGCCTGCGTCTGGCTCCTCATTCCTCAGAAAAGCCTCGAGAGGTGAGGAAAATGTCCAACGGACCGCGAGGAAAGTCTGAGAGCTCACTGGTTCTCTCGTGCAGGCGCCAGCGTTCTCCTGGCCTGGACCACGCGAGAAGGCGAGAAGAGGTCCAACTCTCGCCACAAGAAAAATATAGAACCCGTGTGGGCGAATCAGTGACTGCGTCGAGGCCCCCGCTGAGGGCGAGAGAGGGGAGGAGATCGGAATCGATGATCAGAGATCGAAGATCGAAGGTCTCCTGAGAACGACTCAGGGTCTCAGCCGGGCGCCGACAGGCGACGAACTTAGCTCAGCTCCACTGCAATGCACCCGAGGGGCTATGTGGCCCTGCGGATCCCAGTCACAGAGGATAGCGAATATCACGCGAAGACGCTACTCGTGCTCCGCGCAAAAGGACAGTTACGAGCGAGCCCGCGCAGCAGTCGTCCTGGACGACACGCAGCCTCTTTGCAGCGAACCGCTGCTCGCTGCTCGGCTACGCGCAGAAACGACCCTGGGCGAGAGTGACCCTCGGTGCGCGGCGTTCGGGGGCCTCCGGGGGGGGGTCAAGTCCAAGCTCGCAGGCCAATGCCGGGGGGACCCCTGCTGGGCCCGCACCGAGGCTCACTCCGGCCGAGGGTCACACTCACGCGCGGCCGAGCTGCTGCGAGCGCCTCGGGAGAGGCAAGGCGCGGTGGGCCGCTCGGCCGTGAGCCGACCCCCCCTGGAAGCGGGAGCGCAAGACGCGCTCTTCGAGCGCGGCTGGGCGGCGGGTGGTGCCTCGAGCGCGGGCCCGAGGCCCGAGGCCTCCGCGCACGCCGTCTGCCCGGAGGCCCCGGGGCCGAGGCAGCAGAAGGGAGCAGCGGCAAGGACACGACCTCCTCGGAGCTCCGCGCGGATGTCTTGGATGGGTGCTGGACCCCGCTCCCTGGCGTGCGGAACGCGCCAGGGGCGGTGCCAGAAGCGCCGGCAGGAGGGCCCAACACCGATCCAAGACATCTGCGCAAAGCTCCGAGAAAGTCTGCTTATGCATGGCTGCTCTTCTTCGCATCAAGGGCCGGTGCGACCCATAACTTTCCAAAAACCGGTGGGCATTCCGCCCTCTCGGGAACTGCCGACTCACGAAGCGCGGCAACAAAACGGGTGCTGAGCTAACCAGCACTCCCTGTAGTGTCCATGCGTACATGGGCGATTCCAGAAACCCTGAACCCCCCACAAATGTTCATCTCTCGGGGGGCGCATGTTCTATATGCGCCACCTTCTGTCGCCCTGTCGCCGGCTTCCGCCGGCGGAGGCGGCCTCGTTTTACTTCCGCCGACCTTCCGCCGCCTGCCGCGGCGGAAGAGATAACAACTCCTTCGATCCTCGAAGGCGAGGCCATTTCTGGAACGCCTAACAGATGTGCACATGATTGAAGGACGACTATGACAAATTGTCCGTGCAGGGATGCACGGGCAAAAACGGCCCTCGCGGGCGGAACGGACGAGGCACATTGATAATGTTCCTCCGCCTGGCTCCTGTGCTGCCCACCAGCCCTCGTACGGCAAGTTCGTGGTGCTTCTTATCGCTCTGCCCTCTCTTGCTCTCCGCCGTCTCGCCTCCGTCATCATCGTCAGCGTCGTCGTGGTCGCGGTGCGCGTTGCTCTCTGCATGACCCCCACCTGGCTTGCCAGGCAATGCATTCCGCCTGGCTGTCCGACCGTCCGTCCGTCTGCATTCCCGGCTGTCTGAACCGCGGACGTTTAGAGCTTCTTCGCTCTGGGACGCGTCGGCATCCGCCGCCCAATCCCTTACCGGTGGCCCTGACCAGGCTGGGGGCAAGGGTACCGAAACGCGCCCCCAGGCCCAGCAAAGCATTCTGGGCCACATCCGACATGTTTGGTTGCTGCTCCAGAGGATTTGGGGCTGTGCTAGGGGGGAGGCCGTAGCACCGATTCACGATGTGGTGTATACTAACCTTCGCGTAACCGCGCCTCGTCTTCGCCGTCGATGTCGTCGTCGTCGTCGTCGCCGTCGTCGATGTCGCCGTCGTCGTCGCCAATCGTCGTCGTCGCCAATCGTCGTCGTCGCCGTCGTCGTTGTCGTCGCCGTCGTCGTCGTCGGCGGCGTCGGCGTCGGCGTCGGCGTGGTCGCAGTGCGCGTTGCTCTGCTAAGGACTTTCTTCCTACACGCAGTGGCCACATCCCTCCTGCTCCTCCTTCCCGCTCTCTCCTGCTCCTGGCTCCACGGTGCCTCGTGCCAGCCCGCCCTCGTGTCGTACATTCCTGCCCTGGGGCGTTGGCTCTCGTCCCAGACGCCGGGCGAACCGTTCGGCCTCAAAAGACCTTTCTCGGACGCCCGACGGAGGCTGTCGGCCCCCCATCTTGTCGTGTGGTTTCGCGCCGCGGGTCGGGTTCGGTGGGCCCCTGGGGCCAGAGACGGGCCCCCCCGAGGGCAGCAACCTCGAACGCCAGCGCCAGCGGTTGCCGCCGCGTGAGTGCGGCGCGAGCCCTGTAAGGCAAAACGTTGCAGGCCCTGTGCCAGATCTTGTCGGCGCCCGGGGGTGCGGCCTGTGCAGCGATCCCTGTGGGGCGTAAGCTCGATGCCCCAGCGGGAACGGAAGGGGACGCCGCTCGCTGGCTCGGTCCGCCTATTCCGCGAATTCCGTCGCGCTCGCCCCATCCCTGTCACGAGTCGACAAAATCGCGCCAATCATTCGTTGTATTTGTCTGGTGCCATTTGCGGGCCCCGGGGCCGTTAACAAGAACTACTCAAGATGGAAAGCTTGTCCTGTGGATGGATTCGAATGCACCAGGAACTGGCGACACGAAACAACTTCAATCGTCGGAGCTCTGGGACTCTCGGCCTCGCTCTCCGAATGTGCCGTGGAAGACGTCACACGTAGCCATGCCACTCGACGACGTCTCACCCATACCGTCAATCACTTCACCGCTGCAACAGCTGCACCATGACCGTGAAGGTCTGTCATCTGGCCCACTGCACTAAGGGTAAAACAACAGCGCAGACCAGTGAAAACGTGAGTTCGCAGCCCGCTTGGACTGTACTCGCGGTCTTGCTGAACGTGCCAGCTGGTGTATAACTTCTGCGTTGCAGTGGGTTTCCCCGCAACTGGGCGAGCCTTCCAGCGGAGCTGAGTTTGCCTCCCACAAAAAATGGCGAGCGATCGAGCATGCCTGCGGCCCGCGAGCTGAACCAGCTCCACGCGAGCCATCAGGCAGGCTGGCGGCCGGTGGCCAGGAAAGCAAACATGTCAGCCAGGAGGGAGGCCAGGCCTGGGCCTGACCGAGGGCGGCCAGGAGGGAAGGCGGGAGGCTGGGGGGCCTTCCCAACACACGGATGCTGGGGGCCCGGAAGTGGGCACCAACGCCAACGCAGGAGGTTCCCTCCCCAGGGGCAAGATGATCCTAGATGCTGGTGTTGGTGGTAATAGTTCGGCCACTTAGGGAGCCCGAGTATTACCATATTACCACCATCACCGCGATCGGGAGTATCTTCCCTCGGTGAAGGCACACCGCCGATCTTGATGTTGGTGCCAACCAACCTCTAGGCCTCCGAGGATGACGACCATCGTGCCATGGCGCCCCACAGCTGGTCTCGTTGACCGTTGGCTGCGCCGACGCCTGGGTCGATCTGGGGCCGCGGGCGGCCTGGGTCCGCACGCATGGCTGCTTCATCCCTCCCCCGCCTCCTCCCGGGGAAGACACAAGGTACCGCTGTACACCGCTGCTCCCCAGACCTCGACTACCCACCAAGCCACCCCAACCTAACCCGAAGTCGCCGCTGGGTCTGCCAAGCTCCAGTGGGGGGACGTTCTGGAACATCAAGGGAACACAGGACGGAACTCGGACGCACCCCAACCTTTGGTTCACCCAAAACGGGGTCCAGCTGAAAGTGGCTGGTGCAATAGGTTTGTGGCAATTGGAGTGCACATGCTCTGTTCCAGATAATCGTATTGCAATGTCTTGCAACTAGCGCATTGCACGCCCCAAATGTATTGCAACCCCACAAACCTATTGCACCAAGTCCACTGCACCACCCTCCTTTCGCTGGACCCCCTCCCGGGTCCACCAGGCAACCCGAAATGCAATTGGGGTGGCCTGGGATCGTCGGGCTGGCTGCCTTCGGGTGGCTCGGCAAGCAGTGAGACCTCTCCAACGGGGTGCGCCCTGGCCGGGAAGCTCCAGGGCGAACCCAGCCCGTGGCAGCGAGGAGCGGCCAGCGGCACCGCTGACCCTTCTCCCCGGCCTCCAGCCTCTCGGGGGCGCCGGCGCGAAGAACGTGCGCGGACGAGGGGGATGAGAATGTCATTGCCCCCGCCATGATATCCACCCCCCCCAGGCATCCCCCCCCCTCCTTGCCGCCCCCGAGCCACCCCTCCGCTCCACGGGTGCGCACTCCCTGCACTCGCGGGTGCGCACCCAGGGGGGGGGGGGAGCGCCTCGCTCATGCCCCGCCCCGGGGCGCGGCGGCCCGGGCCGGCCCCTGCTCCGAGGGGGCCAGCCCCGAGAGCCGCAGCGCGGGCGCGGCCACCGCGCACGCCGCCTGCAGCTCCGCGGGGCTGGCCCTGACCGCCGCCAGCAGCGCGCCCAGCACGGGCGAGGCCCCGTCGCACGCGGTCGGCCCCATCGGCAGCAGGCCCACGCAGACGAAGCTCACGCCCAGCAGCCCCCTGGCCAGTGCCACTGGCGGCATCTCGGGCGAGGCCGGGAGCCTCGCCACGAGGGACTGGGCACACAGCAGGCCCTGCTCCCAGGCCTTGCTCAGCTTTGCCGCGTGGATACCACCGGTGATAATGTTGAACCGCGAGGCGAAGACTGAGACCCAGGTCTCAATCGTGAAGGGGTCAGTCTCCCACTTCAGCGCCACGAGCAGCTCGGCCTCTTGAGTCATCAGCGCCTCCTCGGTGGCGTCAGGGACGTCGTGGCCGAGCTGCCTCACGTATTCTACCATGCGCTGCGTGTGAGGGACCATGGAGGCGTATGGCACCGAGGTTGTCGAGGAGTCAGTTTTCTTCAGCAACTTCACGATCACTGTGCAGACGAAGGGCAAATGCTCTACGAGTACCCCGCCATTGAGACGTAGGCAAATGATGTCGAACAATGTTGCGGCTTGAAGTCCAGCTGCCGGAAGAAGCTTGACACTCTGGCATAAAGTGAACACGAACCTCACCCCGACGTCACGCAGACCGGCATTGAGGGGAATGCTCGTGGCATTTCCGCATTTTGACGAAACAGCCCTACGCTCCCTCTCCATATGGAAATCGACGAGCTCGTCAGTCACTGCCGCATCGAACAAGGCATCATCCAACTCCAACTTAGAGAGACGGCCACACTCCAACCGCTTGTCGAAACACATGGCACACCTGCAGAATGTTGGTGTTTGATAGCAGCACCACGCTCGCGCGCGGCAAAGATGTACGATTGCGTCCAGGCGAGGCGGCTTGAGTCCAACACGGCTATGGAGCGCAACGAAAATCCCAGCAGCCCTCTGGGCGTAGGTGATTTGACGAACTTATGTCTCCTCTCTGCTAAAATTCCTTCTTTCCCTGCTCGGGGGAGGGGTTGATCACTGCTCCTTACTAATGTACACCCTCTCCCCCACCCGACTGTGAGCCAACCCGAGACATGCTCCCCCCTTCCCATCTCTGTCGAAAAAACAATATAGAAGGCACTTTGCCTCCACATCTGGAAGGTGCACGGGCGCCCCGCGACCACTTTGCATTGGTTTTTGACAAGGACGGCGGTTGTGCCTTCATATTGCTCGCTGCGCGCAGGCCAACTATACCTGACGAAAAAAACAATATAGAAGGCACTTTGCCTCCACATCTGGAGCGTGCGCGGGCGCCCAGAGACCACTTTGCACTGGTTTTGACAAGGACGGCGGGAGTGCCGTCATATTGCTCGCTGCGCGCCGGACAACTACACCTGACAAAAAACATAACATAATGCACTTTGCCTTCACATCTGCAGCATGCGCGGGCGCCCCGCGACCAATTTGCATTGGTTTTTGACAAGGACGGCGGGGTGCCTACATTGCTCGCTGCGCGCAGGCCAACTATACCTGACGACAAAAACATTATAGAAGGCACTTTGCCTCCACATCTGGAGCGTGCGCGGGCGCCCGGAGACCACTTTGCACTAGTTTTGAGAAGGACGGCGGGGGTGCCGTCATATTGCTCGCTGCGCGCCGGCCAACTATACCTGACAAAAAAAACATAACAGAATGCATTTTGCCTTCACATCTGCAGCATGCGCGGGCGCCCCGCGACCAATTTGCATTGATGTTTGACAAGGACGGCGGGGGTGCGGGCATATTTTTTTAAACGTGGAACACGTGCCGCACCTGGCGCGCCTGGCTCGTTTGGGCCTCCAGGGTGCCTGGTGCACCTGGAACCCGTGGCGCACATTGCATGCGTGGCGCTCTTAAGCAATATGCTGAGACCCCCTCTGGTGTTACTGATGTGTTGGGAGGGCGGGTGGGACTGAGCGAGACGGCTTGCAGGCGAAGGGGGGGCCTCGACCCATCCCCCTGCCCCCTCCCCTGTGCCTGGGGGGGTGGAGTGGGCGAGGTGGCACAGGGTGCTGTTTGGTCCAAGATGGCTCCAAGAGGGCCTCTGCGAGTCCAAGGCGGTATCCAATATAGGTCGAGATACCTCAAGATGGCCTAAGATAACCTCCGACGCACATCCAAGCGGCATCAAGATGGCCCCAAGACGATTTCCAGTGCCCGCCGAGCGAGCTCTCCGAGGACCCCCGCCAAAAAGCCAAAATGGCCCCGAAACCTACGGAACCTCATGTTGTTGTGCCTTCTCGCTTTTTCGCTTTCGATGGGCTTTTGAAGCCTCCAGGTGGCCGCAAGACGGCCCAAGCGAGGCCCAAAAGGTGCTCAAGGGGGCCCCAAGAGGGCGACTCCACTTTTAAAGGTTCCCTATTGTTTGTTTCCCTCTCTCTCTCTCTTTTCTCGCTCTCTCTCTCTCTCTCTCTTTCTCCCTCTCTCTCTCTCTTTCTATGCCTCTCTCCTTTCCTTTGGGGGGGACCGGGAGGCTCCCCGCCGCGGCGCGCTCGGCGGCCTGGGACATGGCTAAGGCTCGCGACGCACTCAGGGGCAACGATGTGGTGTGGGGTGGGGGGGGGGGTAGTCATGTTTTTTTGGGGGGCATCGACCTGGAATCTGCAATGCATCGCCGATGCATCGGCCACGCGCGCCCGATCGCGATCCGCACGTTCCTGGGCGACCCCCCCCCCCGTATCGCTGCCCCTGGGGCGAAGAGGCTCGGCGCCTCGAACGAAAGCTTGGAGTCTCGGAGACTCGGGGAAGCTCGGGGCAGGTGGGTGGGTGGGGTTAAAAAAGGGCGGGTGGGTGGGTGGGTCAGAGAAAGAATCCTTTTGTAATCGCCCACAACAGGAATCCGGATGAATCCTCCACACAAGGAATCCTAGTGTAATCCCCTACAACAAAAAATCCTATCGCAACGCGCCAAAAACTAATCCCTTTGCGGCGGCCAGGAAAACTGGGAAGGCCAGGGGGACAAAAACAAAACAAAAACTAACTCCCCACCCCCCCGCGCCACCGCCCGAACAAAAAATGTAGTTGTTTTTGCCTTTTCCACTTTTCCTGGCCGCCACACAAGGAATTATTTTGTGGCGCGTTGCAATGGGATTACTTTTTGTGGAGGATTCAATAGGATTCGTTTTGTGGACGATCGCAGAAGAATTTCCTTCCGCGGCGGATTACAATGCGCTCTCTGTTGTGGAGGATTTGAATAGGATTATGTTTGCGGCGTTTTTTGGGGGGAGGGGTTCTCTCTCACTCTCTCGCTATCTCTCTCTCTCTCTCTCTCTTTCTCTCCCTCTCTCTCTCCCTCTCTCTCTCTCCCCTTCATCGGGACCCCAACTGTTCCTTGCCGCCGCACAAGGATTTCCTTTATGGCGCATTGCAATATGATTTCTTGTGTGGGAAGAGTTGCGATACAAATTCTGTTGGTCAAGGTTGCAATATAATTCCTTCTGCAGGGGATTTCAATCGGATTCCTTTTTTTTCTGCTGGCGATTACGATATAATTCCTTCCTGTGGCGGATTGCAAAACGATTCCGTTTTGGGGGGTTCAATAGGATCCCTTCCGATGGGGGGTTGCACCGGGATTACTAGCGTGGACTTATAACATCAAAAAAAAACATATTATATTGATCCCATTATCATAGAATCCTGTTACATATGGGTCCACCTCTAATAAATTTACATTACATATGGATCCACCTCAAAGAGGATCCTACTACATATGGATCCACTTCTAATGGGATCAGAGCACATATGGGTCCACCTCTAATCTAATCCTAATACAGATGGACCCACCCCACATAGAATCCTAGTACAAATGGATCCACCTCTAATTGGATCATACTACAAATGGGTCCACCCTGAAAGGGATCCCACCAAGGTGGGGTCCACCTCTAATGGGGTCCTATCAGGGACGGGCCCACCTCTAATGTAATCCTACTACAGATGGACCCACCTCTAATGGAATTCTCGCAGGCATGGACCCATTTCAAATGGGAACCACTTACAGATGTATCCACCTCTAATGGAAGCCGATTAGAGAGGGATCCACCTCTGATCGGATCCTGTTATAAATGGATCCACCTCAAATGGGATCCTGTTGCATATGGACCCACGTATCATAGAATCCGAATACATATGTATTCCGCTCTGATGAGATCCGGTAAGAGATGGATCCATCGCCCATGGAGGCTTATTATAGATGGATCCACTTCTGCTGGGGTCCTATTTGCGATAAGCCCACCTCTGGTAGAACCCCATTACAAATGGATCCATATGTAATGGGAACCGCTTAGAGATGGATCCAGCTATAATATAATCACGTTACAGATGGATCCACGCCTAATATAATATAATCTCATTACATATGGGCCCACCTCTACTGGAAACCCCTTACAGAGGGATCCACCTCTAACATAGTCTTATTACATACGGATCCAACTCTAATGGAACCCGATTAGAAGTGGATCCGCCTCTACTGGGATCCGAGTGGGGATGGGCTCGCCTCGAATGGAATCCGATTACAGATGGACCCATCCCTCGTACAATCTTGTTACACACGGATCGACGTTGAACAGAATCGCATGGCATATGTATTCACCTCTACTATCGCACTACAGATTGGTCCACCTCGGGGAGAAACCTACTACAAATGGATTCGCCTTCCATAGTACCCGATTAAGAATTAAGAGCGGATCCACCCCTAATAAAATCCGACTACATATGCAACCGCCTCTAATACAATCCCACGGCAGATGGGTCTACCTCTAATATAACCCCATTGAAAATGGATCCACAACTAATGGAATCACATGGGAGATCGATCCACCTCTAATAAGATCCTGCCACGACTGGGTCCACCTCTACTAGAATCCGTTTACACATGGACGCACGCCAATATGTTTCCAACACATATGGATCCACCGCTAATAGGACCCTAGTAGCGATGGGTCCACCTCTGATAGAATCTAATTAGAGGTGGATGCGTCGTTAATGGGCTCAAATTACAAGTGGATCCACCTCGAATAGCATCCAATTAGAGATGGTGCCATTCCCAATAGAATGTTATTACAGATTGGCCCACATCAACTATAATCCTATTACAAATAAATCCGCCTCGAATGGAAACCCAATAGACATGGGCCCACCTCATATAGAACCAGATTGGAGATTGATCCACCTCCCGTAGAATCCTAATCGGATGGGTCCACGTGTAATATAATCATACGACATCTGGTCCCACCTCTAATGTAATCCTGGTGCATATGGATCCACTTGTGATACAATCATATTAGGGATGTGTCCATCTATGATGGAAAACGATTAGCCATGTATCCACACCTGATGGAATCCTGTTAGAAATGGGCCAGCCTCTAATAACATCATATTACATATGGATCCACCTCCCATGGGACCCCATTACAAACGGATCCGCCCCACACAAAACCCTACAACCTATGAGTACACCTCTAATACAATCCTGCTACATATGGATCCACCTATCATAGAATCCTGCGGCATATGGATCGATCCACCTCGGATGGGACCCGACTGCAGGTGGATCCACAACTAATGGCATCATATGAGACATGGGCCCACTTCAACTTGAAACCAATTACATATGGGGCCGCCTCACACCGGATCCTAACATAGATGGGTCCACCTCTAATAAGATTATACTACGTATGGGCCCACCTCTAATTCAATCATATTAGAGATGGATCCACCTCTACTATAATCCTTTTAGAGATGGGTCCACCTCTAGTGGAACCCTATCGCATATGGATCCACCTCCAATA